ACACTCAACAGAATGAAAGAAAAACTTTTCTGTAAATCTGTGTGGGTCTTTTCTGTATGGATCCTTTCCTATGTTTTATGGCTTATAGGCAGTATGGAGAGGGCAAAACTGTTCAGATAATGTGCCAGAATGGTAGAATTAGCCATGAGTTTCAAATAAGGCTCAGTTTGCTTGTGAAAGCTATCATGTTGTAACTTTTGAATAAGAGTATTTATCTTTTCTGTTCTCCCCCACCTCTTGCCACTCCCTCCATTTTTTTTCCCCTTCTCCTATGGTGGTACTGTACTGTGAGTTTGTCATGACCACAGTTTTCTTACTATAAAAAAATGACTTAAACCATGTTAGTTGCTACCTTCTGTGGACAAAAATAAGTGAGTCTTAAAAAAACAAACCCACAAACAAGCCCCTTTATGTAATGTGTCAGGTGCTTATGCGTATCTGCTGTCCTGCACTGAAGAGTTAGCATTCCTGCTTAGCTGTCTGCATACTTAATTTTCTTCAGAAAAGGTACACAAAATAATTTTGAAAGACATTTTGTGCAATGGAAAGTTTGAAAGGATGGTTATGATTTGAGTTTGTGAGAGAGAAGTGAAATTAGATGTAGACTAAAATTCCAATTCATAGCAATTGCGTAATGACCAGTTATTCTAAAGTAGGCCAATTTTATTTGACTTTTCCAGACAACTACTCTTTGGCTTTTAGCAATTTTCAGATAAAATCAATTTTGTTAGCCAAAGTCAAAGGTGGTGGCTAAAATTAGAGCTTAGTTTGTAGGCCTAACTATGAACAGGCTGCTGCCTGTCTGTCCGTAATTACTCTAAGAGGATTGTGCCAACTTTAATAACAGTTTATTCTGTTGAAGTACATGGGGTTTTTATAAATTTTTTCATAGCACATTGGCGTTCTGTTTGAAATTTTTATTAGGATTTGTTTAGCTTGTAGAATGGAGACTTGGAAAAGTCTTGAGTTAAAATGTAGTAGCTCCATGTAATGTAAGTTTAGGGCTAGCTGTATATATGGTCATGGCTGGTGTGGCATATAGAAAGCAGCTTTACTCTGAGTGTTGCCGGAGTTCATGGATGTTTTGCTTAGTCATGCACTATTTTCAAAGCTTTGGTGTGACCAGTCTTCTTCAGTGGTTCTTCAAAATAAAATATAATAGACACTGATACATATGCTGATAAGTTACAATTAATACCTTATTTCTTTTCCTTGTATCATTCCAAATGAACTGTTCAAAAGGGAAATAATGAATTGTTGGCTTATTGGGTAATCTTGCCATGTTGATTCAGAAAGCATGCCTGCACAGTTTACAAAGGTCATACTTGTCACATAGCTGGCTAGTGGCAGAAATTTCCTAGCTGTCATTGAGGGCATGTAGTAAATGACATTTTACTAATACGTGGAAACATATCTATATACAAATTAATATTCTTTCCCCCAGTAAAGGTGTTGGATAGAATAATGTTGATAATTACTTTGCCCTTTATCCATTTAATTCAGCCTCATTTGTGTTGTTTTATTAAAAAAAAAAAAATCAACTGACCTTCTGACAACTTTAATTACCTATACCACTTATTTACAATAGATTACATTGGGGAATAATTTCGTAGAGTTTACAGTCAGTCAGTTGGTCATAATAAACAGAAAAAAGCTAGAAACAGAAATAAAAGAGACGATGCAAAAGGAGGTCTAACCAAGAACTACATAATCTGCAGGGGAAAATGAGGTTCGCTTTCCAAAAAGTAAGGTATTAAAGTATCAAGTATAATAATTAGAACTGGTTAAATAAAGTGATGTACTGGTGGGACAAACAGCAAAACAAATGCTTTCATTTGAAATGGGAAGGTATGGGACATACATAAAGAGTGAAGAGAATGGGTTAGAAAGTCTCCTGAAGCCTTATCCGTAGACTTTGAAGTGTTTGAAGGACATCTGCCTTTGGCATACCTGGCTCCATGTTAGTGACTTAGTTCCTGTGGTTTTAAAGAAAAATATGAGGAGAACTATGTGGGAAAAATCATCAGTGTAAGAATAGCAGAATTGGGTGGAGAGAAACAGTTTTTGAGACGTCTGTAGTTGTGCGGGATGTGGAGAATTTTGCACTGATTATCACAAGGCGTACCACTTTCTCTTCTTAGAGGTGCCTTTGGAGGATAAGTGAAACTGTGTGCAAAACCGAGTGGTATTTTGCTTAAATGTGAGTACCAGAAGTGTGACTGATTCAGGATGTTAAATAACTTTTAATGTAAATATCCAGAAAGAGAACAGCCAATGATATGGCAGAACCCAAACAGAAAGTTAAACTAGCATATTCTGCCACTGGTTTTGAAGCAGGGTGGTAATGCACTATTCCTTCCCAAATCTTTTCCTACTTGTGTCTCCAGGTGTCCTTTGGAAGGCTACTGGATAAATAGTTGCAGTATTGTGACGTAAGTGAAACAATAGTTGGGGTTTTTTTAGACAAAAATTAAGAACTTGCATAAAAAGGAAGATAATAGAATTGCCAAAGAACAAAGTGGTCACTGGAAGAACTTTTTTATTAATTGTTATTTTGAAAATTCAATGTATAAGGTTTTATTTCAATTAACAGTGGAAGTTACAGTTCAAATGAACATTTGTGTGGGGGTTGGTGTTTGTAAGGCAGCTTAGTTGGCACAGTTGGGAATGGGAAGATAATTTCTGCCTTGTTCTTGCTAGCTGTCAGTGCAATGTTGACAGTATGGACGATGAGTAGAATTGTGGTACCACCAGCATGCTTGCTAACACTGCTTGAGGCACATCCTTCCCTGGCCTTTATTTGCTGTTTGCTTGTTCTGTTGTTTGATACAAGTCATCCATCATTACACACGTGCCTGCTTTTAACGGTCACTTCCTGCGGCCGCATGCTTTTGATGCTGCACCTGTGTTCAACCAGCTCGACACAGTCTCGTTTGAAAAGGATCCCAAACATAACGCTGCTGTCCTCTTACTATGCTGCTGGCTGCCTCAGCTCAGGCACTACTTAAACTGGCACTTGCTTTGTGAAGTGCTTGGCTTGTTATACCATTTAAGTCTCAACTCTTCCAATGAAGCAAACAGATTATCTCCCAGTGCACTCCAAAAGCATGTATGGAAGAGTGAAATTTACTGAAGGTCTGCAAACCAGAGAGATGTGCCTCAGTTCTCAATGGGACACGTGAATGAGTAGAAAACCAAGTTGAAAACAAGATATTAGGTAAACCTATTCAGTACACACAGTTGTTTCCCTGCAGTTGGGAGCACCTTCGCATCTTCCCTTCTTGCAATCTTTTTCAAGTGTAGATCACTCATGTTAAATATATAGCAGGGAACATCTTGTGTTAAGTAGAGATATGAACCTGAACAGAAGAAGAGGTCAAGCATGGAAATAAATTCCAGTCAGTACTGGATGATTGAGAAGTCCCTTTTCTCTTGCTCCCTCTTGTTTAGAGAGGCGGTGCTTGAATTCACTTCAGAAATGAGAAGAAAAGTACAGCTAGCTTTTTATAAAGAAAAAAAAAAAGAAAAGAAAAAAAACTTGACTTGCTCTTTATATTTGCATTAATATTTGGAAGTGGGTGGCTCAACCTGATAGTCATCTCCTGCATCATCACATTATCTTTTCCTGATCAGAATATGGAATAATAAATGTTGTGATGCCCACATTACACTCGAATTTTTATTTAAATGTTCTGTTTAGGACACTGGTATTTGAATGGTAAACAAACTGTATGAAATTATTTAATCTAGCCTCGTAGTTTGTCAGTGCACTTAGTTCTGTGGACCACTTTTGGAAAAGAAGATTGATCAATAAACAGACAAAAGCCTTCTCCCACTTCTCTGACTTTCAGCATGCTTTGTGGTCACCGTAGCAAGTGTGTTCTGGTTATCATTGAGTGGTTCAAAGATGCAACCTGGGTGTAAAGTGCCCCTTTCAAAAATCATAGCTCCACAGTAAGCTTTGTTTAGCTATATTGTGTATGTTTGTGGAAGGGATTAGTAATAGATTTTTGTTTTTTTCTTGGAAGTCATTGGAAAACAAAAGACTAAATCTATTTTGATTTCACTAGGGATAGATTAGTGGGTGTCAAATGTTACACAATACTTGACATATTCACTGCTGTTAAGTTGGCCATGGCAAAGGGATTACCCGATAATGAATCACCAAGCTCTTTAGCCATTTAAAGGGAATCACGCTGCTTCCTTGCCCTGGTGGTACTCTCTTTCCTGCCCAGGACCTTCTTGTGACAGTTTGTGTTCAGATGTGGAAAACGCCATGCAGATGTGCAAGCACCAGTTTGACAGCTTTGTGTTTAGCTTCTACCTTGCTAATTGTTTTCGTGGGATTATTTGGATTGTGTAGAAAGCTTTTTCCAAATCCCCTTTATTACTGAAGTTATTGTTGCCAGCAGGAATAAGATTAAAGGTGCTTAAGTCTGTAGAGTTGTTTCTAATTTGTACGTGTCATTTCAGTGGCATTTGAACAGAACTTTGTCTCTTCCCCTCTCTGCTCCCCTGTGGTACTGTGCTTGAGTTAGGGCTGAGAAGCCAAGCTATTGGAAGAAAATTCATTTTGTTCCCTAATTATTATGCTGGCACTCGGGAGATAATTTTTCCCTTCATGCACTGCCAATTAATATGCAAATGAGCTGATAAATATTTATACCATGATTTAAATTATGCAGGGAGCGCTTTCAGTGTACTCTGCAAATGAATTGTTCATGGACTTCAAAGTGCTGGCTGCTGTGCTAACGAGAGGAGATTTGCATAAGGCCCTAATCAGGCGCATACTGATTAAGCTTCATTATGGAAACTGCCAGCTGCAATCTTTGTTTCTATTTTATTACAAAAAGGGGAACTTTTCACGCTTCAGTCGCCTTGACAATGTCAGACACAGCTAGTAGGAGAGACTAAAACTCCACAGAGCAACTGAAGTTTCCCTGTTCAGTTGAAGATTGCTATGGTGTAACTGAAGTTGTATTTCTTCCCCCACCTCCCCACTCCCTTTCGTGTTCAGTCGAGAGCAGTAGTGTAGATTTGATAGAAATTGCCATTCTCCCTTTCCTTGGACTATCTGAACCTGTAGAGGATACCACAGCAATGCTGGACTGCAGTGACTACGTTCTAGGTGGGTACCAGCTCAGCTCTTTCTTATGAACGTTTAATATGGAAATAGAGGCTGTGAGGTTGACTATGCATAGAGGCTTAATCACGTATGCAGAGGCTAGAGAAGGTATTTGTAAGGCTGAAGCTCACCAGTGAATCGGCAGCAAGTAGCTGCCTGGTAGGTAGATAAATAGATCTGTACCAGGGAAATACATGGTTTGGTTTTTTTCTTCTTCTTTCCCTTGCTCCAGGAGAATTTGTTTCCTCTGCGCTGGACAGATTTGCTGCTAGGCTTGGATGATATTAGTACAGACCTTTTGCTTTTAGGATTTCAATCTGAGAAGCATTTGGCTTCTGATAAACACTGGACTTGACTTGCATATCCGTATGTTATGAATTTTAAAGCATTAAAATGAATGAGAGCATGTCCCGGTCTTGAAGAATTTTGCAGCTGTATCGAGCCATTCCCCAACAGAATCTATATTATGTCTGTGTATTTTTAATGTAATAGCAAGGTTCTTCATGCGTAATAGAAAATAAGGTGGAGTGCACAGTGGTTGCCATTGATACCATTGCAAGCCGTGCCTAAGGTTACTGGGATAATGTATTTCCTGTGCTGAGATGCCATCAGGACTACAGAACAGACATCCCATAATTTCTTCTTCATGTCTTTTAAAGTTATTTATGATAACGGATCATCCCAGTTTTACAATAGGTTTTATTTATTTTTAAAGCTCTTTCTGCAAAGCTCAATGTAGAGATTTTTCTTTTATTATTTCTTCAATTCCATTATATAAGTTCATGTAAGAACTTATGTCAAAGAGAATATATTTTTGGATGGTAAATTTTAAAGCAGACATGATTTTTTTTTTTTTTCTCTATCGGAAGTGTTTTTTTGAAAATGAATGTCTAAAAGAATTCTTGGCATATTTTTGCTCACATTGAACATTGTTTTTTCCATACTCATCAATGAATCATTTTTGCTGGTGCTGATGGAGTATTGGGCAGTTTCACTTTAATGGGTGAAAGGAAATAGTTAATGATATATTCCACGTTAAGATTTTCTGTGTTTTACTAGCTGTGTACAGTCCCTAATATTCCAGGTTGGTCCAGTGTCCGCTGCTTCTTTCTTCTGAATACCTTTTGAAATGTTACTAAGGGTGTGTGAAAGTCTGGCACAGCACTGCCTTGCGACACCCTCAGCCCTGCTAGCAGAGTAGCAGTACTGAATGTTATTCACTCCTGAGAGTTGATTTCAATCATGCACCTGCTGCTTTCGATCCTTCCTTCTGTGGAGTTTGTTTTTAGATAGTGTTGGCAGAAGTTGTAGCCCAGGGCCTTTATTTAAAACCCAAGTAAGATCTAAAGGAAAAAGAAAAGGTGAGGGCATTATGGTTTGGGTTTTTTTAGCCCACTTCATTTATTCTTTTAACTTTAAAGCAGAGATTGCATAATCATGTATAAACCAAATAATCTTTTCATTTGACGTATAACGAATCCGTAGGTTTAGTATCCTGCGGGTATGTGTCTGTTTTGCTGGTAGCAGTTTTGTGCTTCAGATGTATGTCATAGCATTTGCAATGGAAATAGCGGCATTGTTCTTGGTGCTTTACATGCAGAAGGCCCACAGATTGAACAAGAAATAGTCAGCTGGTGAAATAATGGGTGCTATCCTCCTTCTGAACCTGAGCAGTACCAGAAAGATATTTCTTCGTCCAACTTGCTACTTTTTTTGCAATAGCGATGTTTGAGGTCTTTGTTACGGATGAATCTTTACGATAAAATATTCTTCATTTAGACTTGCTTTTAGTAGTTGAATAAACTTTATGGGCATGTCTAGTACTAGCAAAACTAAACACCTTTTTTAAAAGGATTCATTTTTTTGTCATAGCCTGACAGAAAAACCTGTCTTAATTGCCTTATGAAAAGAGGTCTGTACAGTTATAACTTTGTCCTAAGCAAACTTGCTGGTCACGCAGGATCATTTGTTGTATTGAGCCCTCTCATACAGAGGAAACAGTCACTATGTTGCTTGGAGTTCTGTACGCAGGACAGTTGTTCCCCCCACCCCGCCCTCCAGGTTTTCTTTATTCTACCATTAGTAGCCTGCACAGTGGCTCTAATACTTCAGTTTCTGCAACAAGCTAGTGCAGGAGGTGGTCTTGTTTTTCTTGCAGGAGCTTTCTGAAGGGGTTCGGTGAATGGATCCCATGGATCCCATGTTATTAAGTGATCTTCTCAACCTATCAGGAGTTCAGGCTATCCTTGTGCTCTGGGCTTAAACACACCCTACATCCAATAGCCCCATGAATTAACCTAGTTTCCACAACCAAGTGTCTTGGCCCTCTAAGCCCTCTTTGCTTGTTTTCCTGTTGGATGAGGACTCTTCATCTTTGTGTCCAAAGTGAAGTCTCCCATTCAGTGTTCTCTGAACCTAAACTAATTTCAGTAGCTAGATGTGTGTCAAGAAATGAACTAGTGCTGTTAATCAAATGAATGTTGCCTATAATCACTTTAAATGAATGCATTGTTGCCACAACAATAAACACAATTTAAGGTACATGCAACTTCTAGATAGAAACAGACTTTGTATTTGTTTTACACACAGATCTATCAACAGGGAGGGGCACATGTACAACAAACGTTTTTGTGCAGATAGTGGAACCCATGTTCTCTTTCTGGAGTGTGGGTCATATTATCCAAATGTGGAAAATGACAAAATAAGGAGCTGGGAAGCAATAGGTTCTGTATCTGCAATCTTAGCAGAGCTCTACCTTTCAAGACTATGAACTTGTAGCTTGAATCTGCTAAGCAGAGGTTGTGAAAAATGGGGCAAAACTTTGCAATCTTTTGCTAATGTGTGGGTCAGCAGTGCTCAGCTGGAAAGTTTCTCCTTACTCTCCCCATTTCAGAAAGCAGTTTAACACATGTGCCTTTATACTAAGAGTAACACTGATAGTTTGGATCTCTTTTACATGCGGCTGACATTTGAAAGATTCAAGCATGGGCATAGGAACTTTCTGAGAAGAGTTGAGGCTCTGTAGAGGTTGCATTAACTTTCTAGGGGTAAATTCCTGTTTGTTACAGTCCTGCATTTTCTAGGCCCTACTGGGTTCAACTGCAGCAGTTGTTTACATAGAAAATTACATTTGTTTCAAAAGTATTGAGGGATCTTAAATTGTGTTTCCTAACTGCTTGTTGGGAGTTTTTCCAAGCTTGATGTCTTTTATCTTTTCTCTCACATGCACTGCATTTCTAACTAGTTCCCTCCTCTTTCCACCCTGCAGTCCCAGCCAGGCTTCATCCAGACTCCTGTTTTTGTTGGAGCCCTGTGCACGTGCTGTGTTCCTCTTGGCTTGTGCTTGAATTACTCTGCATCTGTTGCCCCTGGTTTTGGGAGCCTCAGGGTGGCACTGGTCTCTGATAGTACACAGCAGTGGTCCAGCTTCTCATTTCCAGCTCTCATAGGCTGCCAAACAGTGAAATGTCTGGGCATTCTTGAAAATATCTGGGGGAGAGATTCAGCAGTTAATGCTGTTACTGTATTCTTCTTCAGCCAGTTGGTATTTTGGAAATCACCGCTTTGATGAAAGTACATGACAGAGGTAACCTTTAAAGGACCTAACAAGAGAATATCCTGGTGTAAAGGGTTCATTTTGAGCTCATTGAACTTGAGTTTAACTTGTTATGGGAATGGAAGAATGTGCTTAAGGATTTGCTTACACTTCATTTTATGAACTGGTCTGTCTTGAGATTCTTTTTGTAATTTTGGTTTGTGATAATGTGGCACACTAAGGTCGGTAGCAAAGAATGAGGAGGTAATAAGCTGGAGAGCTGATGCTGTACACAGAACATCTGTATAGATTCCTATATAAAGAAACTATATTCTCTGTCTGCCATCTGGAGAGGCCCTCTGCATTGCACTATATTCAGCTGACAAGCTTTGAAACCAAGAGCAGACTTTTCAGTAGATATATCCAGAGGGAGAAGGAAGAGGAATTATTTTATATTTGTATGGTTTTGCAGGAATATATAGGAAATACAAAATAGCTTCATAGCTGACATTTCTGTTAAATAAAAATGCAGTATTAGAAAAATGGAATCTATTTAATTATAATGTCTGAATTTTCTTTCTGTTATGGGAGGGGAAAAAAACCCCAACACAATAATGTAGGCCATGATGGTCAGACTTAATGTTTTTAAATCTTGTTGTAGTCATTGTTCCCCCTCCACCTCCTCTTTTTGCTTTTATGACTTTTCATTGTACTGAAAATTAAGTTCCTACCTATCTCTGCCCTCCAGCATGCTGTCTTTTATTCCCTTAACACCATGTTTTCACATATGGGAATAATGACATACAAAATTTTGAAACAATATTTATCTGGAAGATTCAGTATTATGTTCTGCTTCTGATCATTCTTTTTGTGTTATAATCTGACTTAGGGTAAAGTACAGACCAAATTCCTGATGATCTATATTTCCATTGGACAAGCAGATATGAATAGATTTGACTTTTTTCTTTCTGTATTAGTTTATCTTTATTTCTGTTTTAATGCAGACTCAAGAATGAACAATCCGTCAGAAACCAGTAAACCATCAATGGAGAGTGGGGATGGGAACACAGGTAAGAAATGATGAATTGGTGCACAGGTGTTTTCTGGTGGAATTGAATGGATATTAAAAGTAAAATTTCTTTACCAGTTTGCAGGAATTAAAAAAACAAACCAAAACAGAATACACCTACTCTTTTTAGAGTCTTGGAAACACTTTTATCTTGTCATTAACCCTACTGTATGTAGGGCATTATTCACACCTACAGTATCAAAGCACTACCCACACTTTGTATGTAAGATTCCCCTTCCCCACTTCCTCTATCTGTAATGCTTCTGATATTGCAGAAGGTCTGGTGGCACTAGCTCTTCATAAGTAGTCTCATTTTTTCCTGGCAGAACATACCCTCAGCACCTTTAACTTCATCATTTATTTTTGAGTTGAAATTTTCCCTGGCAGATGTGGGCCACTGGCTGATCTCGTTTCCTTTTTAGATTTCATTCAAGCTCTCACACTAGTTCTCAAGAACAAGGCAAAGGGAGAAAACATAATTTCTCATAATTTAAAAAAAAAATGTTAGCTGGCTTTTCTGTAATTTCTTCGTGTGTTAGAACAGAACCTTGAAATTTGTGTGGGGAGGAATAGCCCTTGTCTCAGGGCCAATGTACCTTATGTTGCATCCTTCAGATGCAGCCCTTGTTAAGCCACTATAACTCAATCATGCTATCTCATGCTTTAATTCCTTTCTGGAGGTAATTTAATGTTCATTTTGGAAGCAAGAGAAATGACAGTTCTGAATGGAAAGTAAATAGTTTAACCTAACTCAGAATCTTGTCTGAGCTCAGAATAGCATTTGGGAAGAGAATATTTTAATGAGAAGGAACTTGTTCTTGCTGCTTTGAGAGAAATCTAGGTACCTTTTATAAGGAAAATTATTTTTCCTCCTCTTGTTCAGTATTATGAGTTTTACTTTAAACTCTGGAGTTCTGATGGAATAAACAATTTATTTCATTTTATGCTGCTGCGTTCTCATTCTTTGTGCAAGGGTTTAATATGGCTAAAAGTGACTGAATGTTCCTGATACTGATCTGAGAGGTTGGATGATGTCTGCCAATGCAGGGGGACAGTCAGAAGGAATTCTGCTCACTTATTAATGTGTTTTGTTACTGACATCCCAGGTTTTATAATTTCCCTTGTATTTGTAACAGGAGAGGTATCAATTCTTTTTATGTACAAAAATGATTTATTATGTATTTAATACTGTTTTAGGATGACATAAAACATTATTTGAGAAAACATATGGGCTGTAAATATTTCATAATCATAAACAGCATCAAGAGAACAACAGTTTTAAATATCCCTATGGAATCCTTGTAGCTGCAAGGTGTGTGTAAACTTCTGAGAAAATTCAGACTTCAGACTCTGTATGACCACAGTTTCCCTGTGTATACTTTCTCCAACGAGCACATTGCCAATGCACTTCCTTAAGTGCAGCTTTAACTAGCAGTTTCACCTAAACTGGGCCATTAAAGAGGAGGATTTGGGTTTATTTAAAGGTAGTCCATTATCACAGGAGTATTGTGGCTTCCCCAACATTGGACACTTCTAAGATTCAGCTGGACAGGGTGCTGGGCCATCTTGTCTAGACCGTGCTTTTGCCAAGAAGTGTTGAACCAGATGATCCTTGAGGTTCCTTCCAACCTTGTATTCTATGGTTCTATGGTGTCTGTTCCTAGGCAAATACTTTATTAGTGTGAAGGTAGTGGTCATGGTAGAAAGAAATCGATGGATTGTAAAGCTGTACGTAGGTGCTTTCATCACAGAAAGGGGTACAACATCTATATTTTTTTATACTCTAATACTAAGGTTAGTAACAACAGATTGATTCTCACGGGTGTTTGGACCTTTTGAAAATGTTGCTTCTGTAATTTAAGTGTTCTTAGTCATTCCTTTCACTTTCGTTTTCTGACTTTTTAAATGATGCAAGCGAAAATATTCTAGCATTTTTGGGGACCCTTTTTTCTGCAGTCATTGTTTTGTTTTTAAATATAGTGCTTATAAACCATTGGAGGTAGTGATTGATGGCATTTGTGACATTCTTGGCTGGCTCAAGCATCAGCTGTATTAGTCAACTGGCAGATGTTGAACCCTGACAGGAATACTCATGGAATGTAATTTTAGGCTTCTGAGCACGGTACTTAGATTATGGTTCTGGGCTCTGTGCATACTTAGTGAAGACGAGTCAACTTTCAGCTTTGATGCAAAGGACCTGGAAGTGCCATTGATTGTCTGGGAAGCATAGGCTCTGAAGCAAAATGCAAGAAGGTGACTTCTATAAACACCCAGTTCTTATTTTTGTAACTGTTGTTTTCCAGTGACATTTGTAAATCACTTTTATGCTGTGTAAGCACTACTAGTCTGTCTTTTGAACCTTGGTGGATGTATGTTTGAGTAATTTCTGTTTTAAACTGTAGTAAGCTGATACAGCTTGAAAATTGTAAGAGAAATTACTGTAGACATGGAATTTACATTTGGCAGAGCTACAGTTCTCAGGAAAAAACAATATGCTTGCCACTGGTAAAGACGACTTTACATCAGTAGTTCTCTGACCTAGCACCTAAGTTTTATGGAAGTAAACAAATTAGGGTTTTGTATTTCTAACTCTGACTATTTAGGGAACGCGGTAAAGTCTCCTGAAAACATTGGTCACAACAAAATGCCTGAAACAGATTTTAACTGTAAAATTTTTGCAATAACTGTCCTTTTAAACATCTGAAAAAGCCGTATTTCAGAGGAACTAAAAACAACAACAAGTTTTTATGAGTACAAGAGTTGTTGGATGACTGTTTTCACAAGAGTGTTAACTGATCAAACTGGTCATCAGTATTGCAGAATTATATCAACCTTTTCCAGCCTTCAGTTGTGGTGGACTGTCTACTTAGTATCTACTGGAAAAAAGAGAGAAGTATAAAAAAAAAGAGATAAGTCTTACAGTGAATGGATAGCCCTTTTGGTTTCCTTTTATGGGTTACAGCATAAAATTTTTTCAAAACGGCTCAACTTTTTTTTTTTTTTAAATGCATATTATTTTTAAAAATCTGTATGAATGCAGTACTATGAAAGCCAAGGTTATAATGTCTAGCAAAACTGTAGTATTATGACATGCATTGACATAGCAGCAAAAAAATGTTTGTAAGTGTAGTATTTGGAAGGATTCTGAGGATTCTTGTTTGCATTGCTTCGTTTCCAAAGATTGATTTTCCAGTTTCCATAGGAAGGAAGTCTATAGGAGAGTAAGAGCGGGACCATGAAATATTTAACTGCTAAAATTCTGGGCAAATATCAATGCTAAACTTCTTATTAGTAATGTGGACAAGGAATAAACAATTTCTGAGTATTGGGGATGTCTCTCTCAATGCATGCACACAGAGAGACATCCCCAATACTCAGAAATTGTTTATTCCTTGTCCACATTACTAATAAGAAGTTTAGCATTGATATTTGCCCAGAATTTTAGCAGTTAAATATTTCATGGTCCCGCTCTTACTCTCCTATAGACTTCCTTCCTATGGAAACTGGAAAATCAATCTTTGGAAACGAAGCAATGCAAACAAGAATCCTCAGAATCCTTCCAAATACTACACTTACAAACATTTTTTTGCTGCTATGTCAATGCATGTCATAATACTACAGTTTTGCTAGACATTATAACCTTGGCTTTCATAGTACTGCATTCATACAGATTTTTAAAAATAATATGCATTTAAAAAAAAAAAAAGTTGAGCCGTTTTGAAAAAATTTTATGCTGTAACCCATAAAAGGAAACCAAAAGGGCTATCCATTCACTGTAAGACTTATCTCTTTTTTTTTATACTTCTCTCTTTTTTCCAGTAGATACTAAGTAGACAGTCCACCACAACTGAAGGCTGGAAAAGGTTGATATAATTCTGCAATACTGATGACCAGTTTGATCAGTTAACACTCTTGTGAAAACAGTCATCCAACAACTCTTGTACTCATAAAAACTTGTTGTTGTTTTTAGTTCCTCTGAAATACGGCTTTTTCAGATGTTTAAAAGGACAGTTATTGCAAAAATTTTACAGTTAAAATCTGTTTCAGGCATTTTGTTGTGACCAATGTTTTCAGGAGACTTTACCGCGTTCCCTAAATAGTCAGAGTTAGAAATACAAAACCCTAATTTGTTTACTTCCATAAAACTTAGGTGCTAGGTCAGAGAACTACTGATGTAAAGTCGTCTTTACCAGTGGCAAGCATATTGTTTTTTCCTGAGAACTGTAGCTCTGCCAAATGTAAATTCCATGTCTACAGTAATTTCTCTTACAATTTTCAAGCTGTATCAGCTTACTACAGTTTAAAACAGAAATTACTCAAACATACATCCACCAAGGTTCAAAAGACAGACTAGTAGTGCTTACACAGCATAAAAGTGATTTACAAATGTCACTGGAAAACAACAGTTACAAAAAT